GTTTATTAGGTAACAGAAATAAACTCCATTAGAAATACAATTCAGAGAGGAAAAACAGACATAAAAATGACTTCAGCTTTACAGTACAGAGAATATGAGTTTATGTTGCACATTATGCACTCAAACAAGACTATGCCTCATGTTATATCGTGGAAATCATTCAATCAGATTTTACCATCTGAGTTAAACACATGATCAGCTGGCTGATCTGACTTATCCTGCATGTCTATCTATTGTTAGCTCTAACTGAAGAAAGGCGTGAACAGTGCTGCCCATTTTAGAGTTAACCTGCTCTTAAAAGTAACATAAATTCTCAACTGCATACTTGAACTGCTACAAGGACTGTTGCTACACTGACCAACCTCTCCTTTTATTATTCTAGACTCATACAACCCGGAATGTTTTCTGTGTTCCTTCATTCTCATTTTTTCTTTGCCAATATTGCCTCCACAGAGTTTTCAATTATGAAGGATTACTTAGTGTGAAGATGATTATGACTGTCAATGGTTGTAGTACATTGTAAGAGCACAGTAATGTCAGAATCAAATACAATTCATTTTAGCATTTTGCCAGTTATACTCTGTGGGGCTTTTGTTGTTACTAAATGTATCTGTTCTACAGTTTTACGTACTCAGAGTTTTTCAGCTAAACTTTTTTACAGGAAAATGAAGTTCACTGCTTTGGGAGAACACCTTGCATTTGCAAATCTGTGGACCACAAGTAAAGATACTTTTTCACTTGTTCTAAGTAAAATTTCCTCTGGAAATTGACAAATGGAACTTGTCTCATGAAGTTACAATGTGGTAATACAGTGATCAGTGAAAAACAGAAATGGAATGATAAGGGAGCCATCCTGTGGAATACTGTGAAGCACACAGACAAGACAAATCAGAACTAAATCTGAGATGTTTCTGTCTTCTCGATTTTGTGATATTGAGTGTTGTCCCTTGTGTCCAAACCTGCATATATTACTAAATGCCAAATTTCTTTATTTCTTCTGTTCATTTTAAATAACTAATTTTCCCAAAAATGTGCAAGGTTTTTAAGGTTAAGATAAGGAGCTGCATTTTCTACAATATAAATTCACTTGAGTTTCATACACTGAACTCCTTTCTTTTTCAGTTTATACAATGGAAATGAGGTTGGAATATGTTCATTCATCCTTTTAATTTCTATTTTGAAGTAAAGTTTTGTTTTAATTCCTCTGTAGTTTTAGGTGTTTGAAATTTTTACTTACGAGTTTCAAAATTATTCATTAGGGATTTATTTAGAATGTTAGTTATAGATTATTTATGAATGGCTTAAATGGGTTTGTTCACTTTCCAGAGTAAACTGAATAGTCAACTGCATTTCAATGCTTATAGTAGCAGAAGATCTACAGTCTAGAACAGTTTAGATTACAGCTCAAGGAGTAGGGAGAAATTGCCACTCTTTCCTTAGCTTCAAAAAAATATATTAATTGAAAATAAAATGGATATCTTAATTACTGATAACATAGCAATTGTTGATGTTTTCTTTTCTCTGATGATAATTTTATTTCTTGGTTTTGCTTCTTGCTTTTTGTTTGTTTGTTTGTTTGGGATTGATTTTGGAAGTGTTAGCAAGAAAAATATTTCATGCCTGTGCTGGTCTTCTTTGTTGTAGGAGGAAATATCAACAAATAAGCCTTCTGCATTGATTTCTAGCAGAACTGATAGGCAGTAATCCAAAACCTATCCTAAACTTATTCTGTTTGTAAAGGTCTGTGGGTGATGAAGAATTCAGCCTTCATAATAACATTAAGTTAGATTTCCTGTTAGAAATATATCAGTTCTAAAGATTAATTGTGACGATATGAGCAACTTACTTATAGAATTGAAACAACCTCTAGATGAGAACTTAGAACCAGCTCTCATAGTCTTTTCCAGCATCTAAAGCAAAACTGGGCATGTCTCTCCATCCAGGGACCCAGATTTTATACCATTTTCCCATTCAGTTGTCAGCTATTATGAAGAATCTTTTCCACAAGCTGTGTTTGTTTAATCCATTTGCTAAATTTACCAGCTACCACAGTATGCTTATAGTGTACCCAGAAGAAGAAATGCATTACCAGATTTTCAGCCTTTGAAATCATATTTCACTTAGGCACCAATTTTGAAAATATATTGGTTTCAATACAGCAATTAAAATTGCTTTTGATTTTTTTGTCTACACCTACTCAGGTTTTTTGAGTAAATTGGCTAAAGCCAAATTGCAGGCTTTAGCATTGTATGGTCATGTTTTAAGCAGACTTATTCTCTTGCTGCTGTATTACAGTCTCATTCAAACAGAAGAGGACTGAAGTACAGTATTCATTCTGCAGCTGATCTGGAATGGTGTTCAAGAAACACAGCAGTTACTAGGAGATCTAAGAAATCATAATTCACAGTAGCATTTATGCCTTTCTAGAGTCTGCCTCTTCCAGTATTATCAGGTTCCAAATCAAAAACCTCTCAGTTATTTCTTCTTAGTGCCGATTCCCAGTCCTGACATTCCACCCTTGGTGCTTTACTATTGTAAATGTCTTTTTAAAATGTGTTATTCATTTTAATTATTTAGTCCAAAGTGTAAGTAACATGAAAAGCAGCAATGTTCAACATTCAAACCTAAGGAAACCAGTGACAGTGGTACTATGGTGTTCATCAGTACAGCTGTACTTGTTACCCTTAAATGTAGCTAAGCTTTAAGGTTCCATAGCAGGAGGAGGAGGGTTTGGGGTCATTCTTCTATTAAGGTCAATGGAGCTCACTGCAACTCCAATTGTAACAAAGATTACCTTTGTATATGTAGAAAGAAGTGGTCCAAACGCTGGGCAACAAGGCTTGGTGTCATAACCACAGAGAAGTACTGAGCTGTATCTTTCAGGGAGCCAGGAACTCACTAAAAAGCGCACCATGCAGCACTGTTGCATATGAGGCCAGAGCTCACATTAGAATCTCTCACCCAATAAACAGCTACAGATTATTAGCTTGCATGATAATTTTTTCCTTCATAATAAGATTATTTTAATATTAGCCATTTTTTTTTATAAGCACCTTGGTGCACAGCCAGTGATTTCTTTTGTTTACTAACTGCATATCCCACTGTGGTATTATTGGGTGTAACAATGGAATTGCTAATATATCTAATATATCCATGGATTCTGGCACTGGCAGCTTTTTAGATAAACAGTAGATCTGCTCATTAGCACTAGTACTACAGAACTGCCATCAAAACACTTTGTACTAACTCCGTGCTGGCAGCAGGAGAATTGCTTCTCAAAAGCTTACTTCATCCTTGTTTCTAGAAAATATTATCAGAGTTGTGAAAACACAAAGTAGCTTTTCATATTTATTTAGTAGTTTAGTCTGTGGTCAGAACTGGGTCCTCACTGAGACGTTGCTCAAACAGATTTTGTTTAGACTTCAATTTTAGGTGCAAGATGACAGAAGAACACAACTGATAACAAAGAATGGGATTATAGGTAAGAAAGGACAAGGGTTATAGAATGTTTCTGTGTTTAAACTCCTGTCTTCTGTTGAGCGTTATGCTTCTGAGTTTTGATACTTTTTGCATGATTTAAGGGAAAGCATAGGGAGTAAAAGTCCTGGGCTAAACAACTAGAAACTAAATGTCTATTTTACACAAACCAGGCTTTAAAACTCATCTGATCCCTTTGATTCCCATAGATGTTACACTGCTAGTGAGTAACTTTCAGCAACCCATGGTAAATTCCTGTCCTTTGAAATTCAGTTTCAAAGTTAACTTTGAATGATGCTGCTAAACTCATGGTATTGCCAGATGGAAGCCGAATGAATACAATGAAGTTATTCTTAGGTTATAAATATAAAAAAAATCATCATCATGAAATTAGAAATTAGAGATGACTAAATTAAACACAAAAGAAGACATAGTCATATTGTCTATTTTCCCATAAAAATACCTAATCCTGTCCTGCCATTAAGTCTGAGGACTGAAGCACAAGGCACACAAACTTCAGTGTGACACCAAATACACCAATGCTTAGGTTTCCAGATGGTTTATAATGAAGACATGATGTGCACTTATTTCTATGTCAGTTCAATCTTATGGTTAAAATTAAAGTCAAATTGTTTCAACATACCTTTATGACTTCTTTAAACCATAGTTTGCCCTTATTTGAGAATGTACTGTTGCTGTGAAGAAATGGCTTGGGGTCAGATCCAGCCAGTTTAAGATGTTGTCCTTTTTCTCAGCTGACAGATTTTTAGACACAGTTAGTGCAGTTAACTCTTCTGTTTATTAGATTTCTAGAAAGAGGAAGGAATTGCATATCGAATCACACTACTCTTCCCATGCTTTTTCTTTTCACATTTTTACCTGACCTCTCTCCATTTTGAATTTTTCAGTACGTTTCTAATTCCATATTGTCACTCTCTCCTCGTCATTTCTCTTTCCCATGCTTCTCTCTCCAGTTTCAATCCACTTTCTAGACTTCCTTGACTCTCTTTTTTTCCATATACTTCTCGCATTCAGTCTCTATAAAACACCTTAGAATGCCTTTACCAACAAACTGACAGCAAAGATATATTCAGGAACGTTTTTATCAGTGTCTGCTGATCAATTCAGGTACTTTCCTTGAGACTAATTAGGCTTGTAGCCCACCACTATGGCAACTTGGGGAGAGTTCTGAACATCTTATTGCTTTCTCTTTGTAAATATTTTTACAGAAAAGCTGTGGAAATGTCATTTTTCCTGCTAGTGCCTAGTGGTATAGCCTTAATGTTGCAGAAAATATCATGTTTTTGGGTACCATCTTCAATATTCAGAAGAGAAATCTGTTTATTACAAGAAGTAATTCATCTGGTAGTCATTTGTACAACATCTGGAATCTAGGTACCATTTTTAGCCAGGTGTATTGGCTCTTACAGATATATCATTAATGGGATTTTTTATATACATTCTGATATTTTAAATAAAATTGTAGCTTATTTTTTATTTTTAAAAAGTGCAGTGGAGGAAATGCTGGCAGAACTAACCAGACTTCAGTGCAGTGGGACATACCTGCTGTTTTTTCTGTTCTTTCAAACATCAAGAACATTATCACAAGAAAAACTACAACACATATAATCAGGAAGAAAGCAGTAGCTTTTAAATTTCCCCGACAGGATATATTACCATTACTTTTTATTTTCCAAATGAACATTTCTTCTCCATACAGAGCTTCCTGCTCTGAAAGAAGTGCATGTTTTATTTTGAGTTTTGCAGAATCTTTCAATTGTTTTGCCAGTGATTTTATCTCCCCTCAGGCTCAAGCCCACATGCAGTCATAAATGCACTGTGCCTTGGGAGGAAATCAAGACATTTCATTTTATTTGCTTTTATGTGGATCCTCTGTGGCTCTTTTATGTGGTTTGCATAGTTTGCACTGCACACTTTGCTGTGTGGATTAAATATTCTGCCAGTTGTAACACGGGGAAGCTGTCTGAGAGTCATGATATAATGTAATTTAGGTTGGAAGGAACTCCTGGAGATCATCTTGCCAAGCTGCACGCTCAAAGCAGGTTTTCCTTCAGTGTTTGGTCAGACTGCACGTGTCCTTGTCCAGTCAAATGTTAGAAAGCTCACAAAGACTGCTTGAAATTCTACATACGTATCCTTGTGATTTTCAGATTATTTTTGTAATTCACAGACAGAATGGCCCTTGCTACTACTTGTGACTACTGCTTGTTTTCTTTCTGTTGTACACTCTAAGGAAAGCTTGGTTCTGTCCTCTCCACAACCCCTCCAGGTGAAGACTTTTAACCTTCTCATCTCCAGGGTTTTTCTCCCCAGGCCTCGCCTGCCCTGGGCATGCACTGCGTCTCCCTCATCTTTGCTCCAGTTTGTACTGGAAAACCCAAAAGTGAAAATTGTATTCCTGATGTGGCCTTGAACATGCTAATAGAGAGAAACCCTTCCTTCCTTTGACATGCTTCCCAGCCTTCTTCAGTCACTCCAGACAGAAGATCTAGGCCTTGTGTCGGTTGGAAATTAGTTCTGCTGTGTGAAGAAAAGCTGAATGTTTTCGGCTTTCTGCTGCTGAGATCTTTTTGGCGGCTTGCTGATGTAAAATCTGGGTAGAAGTTTCCCACTGCATTCCTGCAGACCAGGAGATGGTGCCAGAGACCGTCGGATCTCAGTGTACTCTTGTGGGCCCGCCCACAGCGCCCGCCCACAGCGCCCGCCCACAGCCCCTGCAGTGCGGCGGGAGCGCCGAGGAGCGGAGCTGTGGAGTCCGCCCTGCTGAGCTGCTGCCGGCAGAGGGGCTGTGAGAAGTGCTGCCCAGCAGACGCAAATTGCAGAAGCGTTTAACCTGCTGTGAGTTCTTCGGTTAGACAAACTACGGATGAATGGAAACAAAGACAGGATGACAGTTTTTTTTGTAAAATCTCCATTGATGCGGACACTGTAGTTCAAAAATATGTGCTGCATGCATCTGAAATCTATGCTGAATATAGAACGGTGTTCTGTCAACCTCAGTGGGGAACTGTGAGGTTCATGTATTAGTATGTCTCCCTATACTAATGTGTCTTTTGAAATCTAATGCAGCAACAGGACAAGGGGCAAGTGGTAAAAACTGCTACACAGGCAGTGCCATACCGTTATGAGGAGGAACTTCTCTACTGCGAGGGGGACAGAGCCCTGAGACAAGCTGCCCGGGAGGCTGTGGAGTCTCCCTCTCTGTGTATGTTTGAGACACAGCTGGAAGCTTCCCTGTGCAACTTTTTGTAGGGAACCTGCTTTGGCAGGGGGTTGAATGTGATGATCCCCAAGAGGTCCCTTTCAACCCCTATGGTTCTGTGATTCTGTGCACTGGTGATGCCATCACGCTGTCCCATCAAAGAAAAAGGGTGACTTCCAACAAGAACAACTAGAGGGCTGGGGACTTCATAGCAGAGTGGAGGAGAGAGAATCGTTGTCTATTCCTTTATTGTATTACTGATTAGAATTAACAGAGTAAATGGAAATGTACATATTATTTGATAGTGTTCCTTTAGTAGAAAATGGTTAACTTGAATTAATTACAAGTTTTACAAGTTTTAGTACTATTGTAACCGCACTCAAGGTAGGTCGTTAGCTTTTGTTCCAACTGTAAAAACATTCATTAGACTAACAATTTCTGATTTTGATATCTAGTTCATAATTCACAGTTGTCCATAATGAAAGTAGTATGTAACACAGTGCATAGAAGGCATATCTTTCAGGCATAGCAATATTGGGTACCAGTCTCATGATTTAATGGACAACAATTGATCCTACGCAGACTTTAATGCAGTGATCCTTTTGCCAATCTTAAACATTTTTCTACTGTGAGTGACCATTTCCTGTCATTGGGATACACAGTCTCCGGATTAATTAGCACATCGATCCTAAGCAGGTATGGTCACCACTTCTTTATACTCCCTTCCCTCCTTCCCCCCCCCCCTTTTGATTAACTAGCATCAGAATCACATTATTTATATTGAATGATATTCTTTTACAAATTTTATTCTAGCAGGTCACAAATATGGTCAAAGTACCAGAAGCCCATGAAGTTACATATGAAGAACACTTGTATTAAATTATTTTCCATCAAACAGAACCCATTATTTTCTATTAGGCACAGCTTTTGAAGTGCAGAAAAGCAAAACCAATTTATTGATATTAATATTTTAATAATTATCATATCTGCAAAGTAAAAGTTTAAGAATATCAGCCTCATTTTGAAAGTAAACTGCATAGTAGTGATTATATTTCATATTCAAATGTTAGACACATTGGATAAACATGTGTTTTTTTCCCCCACTGTAAAGTAAGGAGGCTATATTTTTAAAAAGCACTCACTGGCATTAGTTTTGTATTTATGTCTAAATAAAACTAATATATGCTTTCTCCCTTGTCTGTTACTTGTTGGAAGCTGAAAACGTCAGTTGACAGGTTTTGTAAGTGCAAAGTAAGAGTCTGGGAAAGATAAGTATCCATGAAATGTTGATCTGATTTCTCATCACAGAGCTGGCTGAATTTATTATTTTCTGAAAAAAAAATTGTCAAACAACATTTTGACTTTGTATCTCGAGTCTACAACTTTACAAAACTACCACTGCTGGTATCCAAAAAGGCTTTAAAGTGTTTTAAAAAATCTTGTTTTTAAAGTAGGTGGTTGCAGCATTCTACATTACAACTATACTTTAAGTTTTGACTACAAAACAGAATCAGTATTCACGGAGTTTGAACACATTTTTTGCAGACATCAGCAGAGGTATTTTATCAGTATGCTTCATGCGAGCTTTGTGATGAGTTGTAGCAATTTCATCAGCTGTTGTGACTGAGTAAGGTGATATCCTTACCATTGGTAAATACCAGACTGCCAGGTGTTACTGTCTCTGTCAAATTATTGCACCTAATACACAATTTAATTTGTTGTTTGTATAGCATAATAGATTATTCTAAATAACTTAATTCTTGTGTAACATATGTTGTCAATATAGAATTGTAGAAGCGTAGAATCATAGAATCACCAAGACCTCTAAGATCATCCAGTACAACCATTCAACTATCACCAATATTTTCCATTAACTATGTAGGTTTTTTCATTGTCATTGTTGTTGGGATTGGGCTGTTCTTGTGTTTTTGTTTGTTTCCCACCTGCTGACTTCAGTGAACACTTAACAGATCTAGAAGTCACAGGTACTGCTCACAGGTCAGTACTCAGAAGATCTCTTCTATCAGCAGTGGAAGCAACAAAATGATTTTTGCTGTTCCAAATGCAGCAGTCCAGCAGTGAAGCACCACACTGCTGTTACTGAAAGAAATATAATATTGCCTTGTTGTAATGTGCATGAATTGAATTGACTGATGCTAGGATTCACCGGCAGTGAACTGCCCTGGCAGGGCATTGTTGCTGTATGCTGTTTCACTGCAGCTAAGCCACAGCTCCTTGCACAGGTGCATGACATCTAGCATTCGTACAGATGTGTTCCCAAATGCACTGTGTTAAAGAAAAGTGCCACCAAATGGCAGTGGGACTGCATGCACAGCAACTGAGAACCAGACTTCTAACACCTAATGTGTACAGCTGTGGTTTGTTTCCTCTTCTATTCAATGTGTTTTGTGCCTCGCAGAGTACAGTGCGTGTGCTCTAAGGAGCAGCATCTTCCTCCTAGAATTGTGAATCATCAAGGTTGCAGAAGACCTTTAAGATCATTATGTCCAACCCTGATTGACAGGGCCCTTTGCTGCATACTGCTCCTCTGGTGTGGTGTGTGTTTTTTTCAGTTCACGTACTCACTTACAAAAATTTATTTAGTCATTATGAAATTTGCAGCCGAGCACTGACTGCACTTCCCCTGGGGCCCAGATGAGGCTGCAGTGCTGCCAGGCTGAGTGCATGCACTCTCCCAGCTGCCAAGCCGTGACCTCCTCCCCTGCTCTCCTTGAGATGAGGACACTTTCCTCAGCTTTCCCACAGCTACTTGGTCAGCACACATACTTATGCATTTAATGACTTCTAAATGCAAGTTCACTGCAAGTTCAGATAAGCTTATAACAAACATATTTTTTAAAAGTGGAATGTTTATACTGTGGAAAGCTATGCTTTTCCGTGCCTGTGTGTGATCCCTTTTCCCTTGTCCTTGAAACATACCCAACGTACTTTTCCCCTTCAGGGAGAATTCAGCTTCTGAAGTCCATAATTGTGCAGGTACTATATGAAGAGACTGATTAGTTACTGTTTTTCAAATTTAGCCATTATCTCTTCCTATTGTAAGTACAGAAAGAAAAGATATTACTCATGCAAAATGGTGATTGAAACAACAACAAAAAAAAAGAAGTAAAAATAAGGCAAAATAGAAATGAATTAACCTTAACTTCTTGCCCTCTCTGTATAGATTGTGATAAGAGCAGTATTGGCACTCAGGCCATTGAAAGATAGAAAAAATAATTTTCCTAAAAATATGTCACCTTGAAGACAAAGTTTCTCTCCCCATCAGGGTCATCATGATCCAGCTTGCGTATGTCAAGTGAATGATCATTCACATGCAGAAAGTAATTTGTGTCTTCATAGCACTGGAACTTCACTGAATCTCCTTCAGAATGCATGATGAAAAAGTGATTATCTTCCTTCAGCTAAGAAAATAAACAGTGCAAAGAACACGTTATTTTATAAAGCTTTTCTTTAGGCCCTGTATGTTATGAAAATTCAAGGATATTGCTATCTTGCTGTATTTTAAATGTTTTTTTCCAGTGACATTTATTTTCCAGTGTTCATCATAGATCTTACTGAAGATCTAATCACTTAGTTTAGGTTCTATGAGGAATGAAAACAGAACAATACCTCTTCTCTCAAAGGACTGAGTACTTCCAGGCCTGCAATTGCATTCCTTTTCTTCCCAAAAAGACCAGTGCAGGTTTGCTCTGCACTGTGCCAGTTATTGGAATAGTGTTGGATTTTCTCCTGGTCATTTCCTTACCTTAAGCCTTCCAGATCAGCTGCCAGTAGAAAAAACGTGTCAAGTCACAGTTTCTCTTGCCTATTTTGGAGTAATCTGAACATGACAGTGTTTATTATTCTTAATAAAACCTGGTTTATTACGTACAATTGGTACGCGTCTCAAGTCTCCAAGAAATCTTCTAAGATCCATCTTAAGAAGGAACAGGTATTGTCCAAACAGCCCCTTGGTACGACACATTGTGTCTGAGCTCTCCAGTGCTACTGGGTGAGGATGAAAAATGTTACCAGAAGACACCACTCTGGAGAGAGGAAAGGTAAGAGCTAGTCCCTGGACTCATCAGCTTTGGAAGCCATCAGCCTTTAGAAATAAACAATGAGAACTCTGATAAAGTCAGAGGAGGTGCTGGGCCTGCCCAAAGAATAATCAGAAAGGCTGAGAGAGAGAGTAGTAAAGGGTTCCAAGTATGCTGGAGATTCCAGCAAAAGGCACCTTGACATAGAAAGAGGAATGTGCCTTTTCAGCCCAACTGACAAGAAAGAAAAGAATATGCCCTGTGGTTACTGTAGAGCACAGAACGTGAAACGTGAGGATACACCTCCTGTATTAATGAAGCTATAATGGAAAGCAGCTAAAACGTCTTGTCCTGATAAACCAGAGTGACAGCACAGTATTTGCGGCTTCAAGCCAAATTTATGTTTTAAAAACAGGAAAGCTGAAGAAAATTTGTCATTAAGAAAAATACCTTCTGGTAACTTGAAAATGAAAATTGTAAAACGGAACTGTACATTTAATGAAAGAATCTGATGGATTCCTAGAGATGGTGGGGAGAGAAGACCTTGGGGGAATAGAGAGAGAGAACCAGAAGAAGCAAGGAGAGGAATCAGTGTGTGCCATGTAGAAATTCATCCTACAAAGATGAATAGCAAGGGGCACTCAAATCAGACGGAACAATACCTGCATACCTGCATGAGGTAATGGAAAATCAGATGTGGGGGCTGTCAGAAGATGGTTTGGGGAATGATACTGTGTGGGTGGGAGAGAGCAGCTGTGAGCAGGAGCAGCCACTGCTGGAAGTGCTGACTCAAGGCTGCGAGATGCCACAGGTCCTGACTCTGTCACTGAGGAATATTTACAACTACATGCTATACAAGAAAGCAGGAACTGGGCAATTTTCCATTATGGCCTGCTAAGAAGGCAGATGACAAAACCCAGAGAACGACAGACTTCTTCCAAACAGTTCTTTCTGAGGATAGCTCATATTGCATCCAGAAAACAACTCCTACTGCAGCAGGCATGATCATTTGTATGATTTAGGAAATTAACAGGTGGTTTTCAGTTACAAATCTGTTTCTTTGGCATTGCATTAGAGAAAAAATAAATCTGCAGGTTTGCTTTCATGAAAAAAATACACCTTAGTCATGCCCCACAAGTAAGTCACAGTGCTCTTGTAGTAGCATATGCCTGACATATGTTGACTCAACAGGCTAAAGAAAATCTGTCCAGGTATGTGAATAATGTTTCAGAGGAAACAATGTGAGAGAGCATCCATGTTTTGAAATAAATCAGCACAAAAGGATTCGAATGAGGCACAATTATCAAAACTCCAGGTTGGGTCTAACTGCTGCTCTCTGAAGCAAGAAGCAGCTAAAAGATAAGTGGCTGAAAAGGCAGCTGAAGCAGAACAACTCGCCATACACCATCAAGGTATGTACATGGCATACTACAGCATACATTTTGCCCCACATGAAACGAGGAAACGTTAATCAACATAAGCAACAGCTGATGATAAACAAAATAATAAAACCGAACGGCCATCTCAGCTGAAGTCACTGTCCTTGGAAAATATTTCAGAAAAATGTGATGCTTTGAGTTGAGACTGGAGCATGTAGAGAGAACTGCAATGCATGTGGGGCTGATGACACAGAAGCGTGATGGCTCAGTGCTTGCTCAGCATCAGGATGATGTCTTTTTCTCAAATCCAGCCCCAGAGAGCAGGCTGGACAAGAGACTGGGAGTAATGCAGCCAGGACAGCTGGCCCCAACCCACCAAACAAATACTTAATGCCATATGACTTCATGCTCAGCAATGGCATGCAGACAACAGTAACATTGAGGGGAGTGGTTCTGCCTTCCAAGGTGTTTGTTGCTCAGAGAATGGTGATGCTCTCTATGCTGTCAGTCTCTGTTTTGATTGATCTGTTTATGAGAACGAGACAGTAATTGTTTTTGCATCATGTAGTGTTGTTGTTTGTTTGATTGATTGATTTGCCAACCTTCACATATTATACTGTCTTTATTTTGACATAAAAGTCTTCTTATTTCTGTATTTCTCATCTCTTCCTATCCCACTGGTGATGGAAGGTGATGGAATCATGCAAGTGGCTGTTCCAGCACAGTCCTTATCTTCTCACAGCTGGTCCTGTCCTGAAGAACAGTGGGGCTGTACTTCCACCCCAGACAGTCAGTTCCAGATGCATTGCAGTTCTCTCTACATGCCTAGAAACAAACTGGCTTTTACCTTGCCATGCAAGAGTTTGAGGACAACACTTTGGTGACATCAGTTATAGCATGCACTTTGACTCCTGCTTATACTGGACTGTAGGATACCTTTTGCTGAAGAGCTCAATAGTGGTGTGACTTTGTTCAGGCCACTTTGGCTAGGTGCCAAAAAGGACAGTGACAAATTAACCCCAGCCAGCACTAGGCACAGTAAATATGGCATTATCACTGACGACCTACAGTTCTGAACCAAAGTAATTCTGTTCTCACTTTTTGTCAGTTTGGTGCTGTATTTTATTTATCTTAGTCTGTTTAACTGGAACCATGAGTAAGTCCCACAATAAGGCTTTTGATGACTGCATAGCTGCCCTCTGACTCTGTCTTACTTAGTTTTGTCTAACTACTCAGTAAATTATAGAAGACCACAGAGTAAAAACTAGTCAGGCCTTAATGGAACTCTGTGAGCAGCCCTTCAGTTCTGGAAAATGCTTAATAATCTTGCATAACCCATCGGGGAACAACTTGAGGAGAAAGAGCCAAATCTAGTGATAGAATTGTTGACTTCAGTCACTGTTTAAGCAAGCATGTCAAGGCAAGAAGGAATTTAGGAGTGGTGTCAGGAAAGGAAGGAAATAAAAAAAGAATGAAACTGAAGGAAGACTGAGCACTACTAGTGCTTAATAAAAACTGAGAGTGAGCTGAGAGGCTCACTGTTCTTCTGCCGTGCCATAAGGATACAGCTCTGACACCATGTGGCTGATCCAGACTTCTGAGGAAAATGTTGATTTGTGAGACAGAATGTAAGAATAAGAAAAGCATCACACAACAGTCTAGTTGAGCAGTTCAGGTCAAATCAATACATTAATGTGAATAGTGAATGTTAAATGACTCATTTCAACTTCATAACCTTTGCTTTAGAAGAAATGACTGGGGCTAACATTTCCCTAGGCATGCACTACATCAAGTGACAGAGATTATAAATGTAATCTTACTTTGTCTGGAACAGACAATATTAATCAGCAGGAGAAATACATAAGTGGTTTAAAACATCCCATTGTTGTCAACATGTTGTGTGGGCGTATCTGGAAGCCTTTCCTGTGGTGGAAGGGAGGGAAATAATACTCCACATCTCTTACTACAACCCATTGCATAGTTATCTGCTTTATGATATGGATAACTATGATAAGCAAACTATGCTATTGGGTTAGAATAACTGCTGCTGTCCAGTCAATGCTGGGACTTGGCTCCAGGTGGATGACCACCAGCGTGTGCCTTCTGTTAGGGAAGAACAGTGTATACTGTGCAAACTTCTCTGCTATTACCAGCATAGCATCGTAATACACATTGGCTGTGGTCTGTGTTACCTGCCCACTTCAATCCTCTGTCACTGTAAGCTTTTATTGCAAATTATTATTTGCCATTAGAAACTGTTATTATCTTATGATACTAGGCTAAGTAATAAAAGATCTTTTAATGTTTGTTAGCCATGACTCTGCAAGCCTTGGTTTCAGAAATGGAAATGTACAGCACAGTGGGAAAGTCTTTCTGTTGGTGTAATGGCAGGCTTCAGTTTCTCATGTTTCTGGTAATTCCACTGGCAGTTTTCCAGTAATAAAAAAAATGCCAGTCTTTAGCACTACTGGCACTACTGAAAGCTAGCAGACAAAATACCATGTTGTGGCACCACATAGTTCAGTCAACCACTTCTGAGCCCAGTGCACAATGGAGGCTTAATTCACTATATCAGAAAATATTTCTTGTTCAGTGCACCCATTTTAGAAGGTTTACGAGAATTTCAAATTTCAGGCAGGGCTATGGCATTGCCTCTTGTTGTAATTGGGTGTGACCCAAATGCAGGCTGCTGATCTCTCTGATATAAGTAACACACTTTCCTACTTGAGGGTATTCGCAGACGGTGATGGGTAACTCACTAGCTGCCTTGTAAGGTGTGTAACAAACATGTTCTTAGAATGATTTCTTAATTCTTTCTCTATTAACAGCTCTACAGGAAAAGGCATGTCTTCTTTTCTGTAAAAAACTTCCAAGATAGAGTTACATCATGCAAGGAAGAGGCTAGAATTTGTCTTAAATATTGTCTGCCTTATTGTTTTCTACTTCTGTTTAGAACCAAGGAATGTTTCGGGTAGGAACCTCAGGAGAAAATTAAACTGAAGGACCAAATTGTTTTTTTGCCAGAGATCAGTTAAATAATTATGCAAACAAACAAACAAGGCAATAGATGTGTAGCTTTTACCTTTGAAAGATCATTTCAGAATAACTTCAAGCAAGAAACTAACTGTAATTTCAAATTGCCAGAATTCCTTTCTGACTTTGGAGAAATATTAGAAATGATGTAAATTTTAGGCTGTAAATTTTAGATATTCATTATTTCAGTCTTGTTATTATGAAATTGTGAAAGGTATCTGATCCCTGTTAGCTTTTAAGTTCCTTACTGAAATTGGAAATATTGTCTTTTCATCCTCTTGAACAGTCATCTGGAGTACAACCGTAATGAAAAATAGTTCTTCTCAACATTTTCACAGCTTTTTATTTTCTCTGCATTAGAATATCTGTTTAAAATTTATCACAGGACAACTAAAGTATCATCCTTCCCATGTTAAAAATGTTTTATTGTTTCTATCTGTAGAAAAACCGAGAAAATCAAACTTTGGTCACCAAAATTTGTGAATTTTATATGTCATCATGTAAGTGACCTGGCTGCCTGTATATCATCAGATACACAGTGTGTTACTTCAGATTCATAGTCATCCGCTGACAAAACATTCAGTCTGAAAGTGCTTTGGGGATTGCTTATTTTTAATTTTTTTATTTATATTAAATATTTGGTATTATTATTATTATTATTATCTATATTTTGTGTTTTTATCAATTCAATAAGTTTTTGATACATGGATTCATTTTTGTTAAAAACATCATTATTCTTACAGTTCGACCCTTCTCAATCTGCTAATGCACTCATCAGGATTTTGTAGACCTTGCAAAGTAATTTTCATGTAGCATGATTTCTTGTACATCTCCCCTTATTTTAGAGAAGTACAATAATACAAAAATCATGTTTTTGTCATTCATGTTGTAATTAAAACTCACATATTTGGCTGTAGATTGAATGACATATTAGTGTAAACAAGCCAACTGGAAAAGTTGTTCATATTGTCTTTTTCCTGAGGAAAATGCTAAAAATAAGTGTGTAAACGTTCATTTCATGGGTAACAATAGAAATGTACTTAGCTGCCTTTTTTATTTTTTTATTTTTTTTACATCTATGTTTGCAGATGCTCTCTCTCATACATATGTTTTTATTAATTGATCATAATTATGTACCTTTTTGAAGTCAAGACCTCTCTTCTTGCACGTTCTCCTGTTGCCTTTTGCCACTGAAGTATGATCTGGCTCGGAACAGCATCCCTTTAAAACCTGTGTTTGCAGCCATGCAAATTGGTAATTTTGCTTCACATTTTCCACTTTTAAGGCAAAAAATGCTGTATTAATTCTAAAAAAAAAAAAAATTTCCCCCAAAGCTCACTTGTACTTAAACTTCAGTTATCTGAGATGAATAAGTTTTTAAGTTCTCAAAATACTTCCTGAGTATATTATGAATTGGGTTGGAAACAAACATCAAAAGAAAATCCTACAAACTGTTCAATGCCAAGATTCTATTTTGCAATGCAGCTGAGGTTGCAGCATGCTATAACCGTATACAAAAGAATTAATTGCAGATAAGGATCACTGTCATCCTCCTTACGAGATTTCCTGTTAAGAATAAAGAATTATTCACATTCTGTTGGAAACAGAATAGCCAGTGATCTTTCCAAGTTTTTACATACTTGGAGGATAATAAATACATCTTATGCCCTTTTTGGTTAAGAACTGCTTTTTGTCATGCTAAGAGATGTAATCCAGTATTTTGAAATAGGTTATTGGGCAGTAAAATCTACTGGTATTCAACATTCAGCTCTTTCTCTGATTCAATGGAACACCTTTCATATAATTAATTTATGAAAAAATTATCTCTGAAACAGAAAAGATCTTAAAAAATAATTATTCTTACAAGGAAAGTAAAGAAAATTCCAATGTGGTAATATGCTATAAACATGATTAATGTATCTTATAAAGCACATTTCCAAAAAAATTTTAGGAAACATTTTCTGGGAAGTTCTGAAATGAAAAAAAAAAAAGAAAAACACAGAAGATTTATTCAGAGAAAGACATTCGGTGGGCTGGAGCACCTCTCCTATGAAGAAATGTTGAGGGAACAGGGCTTAAAGAACAAAAGTCTGGGAGACCTCACTGTGGCCTTCCAAAATCTGAGTGTATAAATAGGAGGGAGTATGTCTGTTTACGAGGCTGGACAGTGAGACAGGGGAGGTTTAGGTTAGATATTAGGAGGAAGGTTTTCACTCAAAGGGTGGAGACGCACTGGAACGGGCTGGCCAGAGAGGCTGTGGATGCCCCATCCCTGGAGGCAATCAAGGCAAGGCTGGATGTGGCTCTGGGCAGCCTGGTCTGCTGGTTGGCGACCCTGCACGTAGCAGGGGGGTTGAAACTAGATGGTCCTTTTCAACCCAGGCCATTCTATGATTCCATGATTATTCCTTATCTTGATATAACTTGGGGAAACAGAGGTCAGATCTTTGCCCTGCTATAAAGGTTAAATTCTTACATGAAGTTCTTCCTCAGACAGATAGTAAGGTTTGTAACCTGAGCTTAGCACAGGGAAATCTGACCTTGACTGCTCTTCCCACTATAAATAAACCAGACAAGACTGAAGAAAATGGGAATGCTCTGACAACAGATTCTTGTAAGTCAGGCTGATTAGGAGAAAATAATTCCCCTCTTAAACTCACCTCTTTTCCATGCGGTAGCCCAAACCCAATTATTTTTGCAATAATCTATTTTAAATATTTGTCTGGATAGCAGAGAGGGAGGCAGTCAAGTTGTGCACAGTGGAAAGTGATAAGCAAAGAAAAAACAATTCAAAAAGGACTAAGAGAAATTGTTTGACAGAGAGAAAAAGCACTTAAAAGTTACAAATTAAACTACTTCTTACCTTCAGGCAGAGCTGATCTTCACCTTTGCTCAACAGCACAAATTCATTACACTTTAATCGCTGCATGAGGACCACCACATTTTTAGAGTCTGTTTTTCCTAGAAAAAGAATTGCAATAAGATGTAAATCACTTCATAAAATGAAGCACAGATGAAAGCAGTAAAGTAGACAACATTCAGACACAGGAAGAAGAACAAATACAATCACTCCGTAAGTCTTTCCGTCTTTCCTCTGAAAAGTATTTAAAGTCTATGACTTCAAGACAATTTAAATTTGTCACGCAAAAACTTAATTTCTCTCTGCAAAAAATTGATTATGGATTTAAAAAAATGTGATATATGGAGTACCAGATTTATGTGAGTATAAGTACATTTATATACATAAACTCATCAACTGTGAAGGCACATTCACATTACTATGGGTATTAATAGGGAAATAACATTATTACAGATATACAGGATACTGTTTTATATAATACACCTGACCATGCACACACCCCTACAGAAAACACAGGATTTTTCTGTTTTATTTACTGGGTACTTTGTTGGCTAAAATCTTTCCACTGTCAATTTTTCAGCTGCAGGAAATAAATGTATACAACATGGGATAATTCTCAAACTGATAAAAGAATCAGTGCCTTTGGATAGTTCAAAGTCCCAGATCCAGAAAAACAAAAAATAAAACTACTTTTTGTCAACTGTTATGGGACACAAAAGCATTAGCTAGCAGATAGCATTACCGACCATAAACATCTGCCTTGAAGATTTATTTAAAATAACACTACTTGTGCTTTTGAAAATATTTCCAGTGTACTGTTTATGAGTAAAAAAAAAACCTAAAAAAATTATTTTTTAAGATTTTTTTTTTGTATCAGAGATAATTTTTTCATAAATTAATTATATGAAAAGTGTTCAAATCAGAGAAAAAACCTACATGTCCATCGCCACGGCAAATTAATACGGAGCATACAGAGTTACAAAGGTTAGGTAATTGACAGCTTTAACAGCTGCAGATAAAGAGTTGTTGTTTTTTTTTTTTTTTCTTGTCACTGAGGATATTTTTCAGCCTTTGAAGGATATTCTGAATCAGCAGAACATACTCATTCCACCAGAACTATTTTATGTTCCCTAATCCTATGTATTATTTTAGCTATCCTTTCTTACCCTAGCTGTAATGCTTTTGTAGAAGTCTACTAAAGGAATTTTGTCTGAACCAGTAACAGCATTAAAAGGGCATAAAAATCCTTGATAAAATTTGAGATGCACTTCAGCATGTTGTGCTCACTTTGCATATTTATAAATACATTTGATAAATGTAGTAGAATGTAAAGTCTAAAAGTCTTCCCTCTTCATTACGTGGAGATTCATCAGTTCAGATTACCTCAGTCCAACATCAGCTGTAGCATATCGATGGCACATCAGCAGGAAAGAGATATTTCACACCCAAGTCATAATAGTGTTCTGACTGAAGGGAGATCAACTGTCTAAATCATGTCTGATAAATGTGACAAATGGGCTATTGGGTAGATGGTTGCTGCTATGGAAAGTAAGGAACTTTTCCATGATTTCATACATGCTGCTTCCACTCTCTGTTGGGCTGTGGTTGAGCTATTTATCTTCTCTGATTTCTAAAACCGGAGTCTAAGGGGTACTTTTACAAATTGATGCTGAATTGAATGCCTTGTAATTGATGAAATAGAAGGTGCCATTTCTTACTTGGGGTATCCCTGAAATCCAGATTGTTGGGATTTAGGCAAGTACTGAATGGATGGGTCAGTATTTTATAGTCTTCCCTAGAAATTTCCACTTGACCACTTGTCAAGGTGCAATCCTGGATTACAGCAGTTCTTTCAGGTTGAAACTGAAATAGATTTATCTTTTATCGGAGTACTGGAACTAATGTATCCTTTTACGTACCACTCATCTGTTATGCTTACAATAGGGAGATTCCAAAAATACATCTTCTCTTTCTTCATACACTTCTTATTTTTCCCTTCCTGTTACAACAGGTCTTTGCTAGCTGAGACTCAAATGCCAGCAATATAGCACACGTTTTTCTTTTAAAAATATTGATTCAAGCTTGTGTGCATTCTATTTCCTCATGCACATTTGTTTTCTGTTCAAGCCCTTATTTGTAACTTGCTATGGCAAGTTTTGTGGCTTTTAAGATTGCCCAGTATCCTGACCTAAATGAGCATCTGTTTTAATATATGGCTTCTGATATGATGTCTTAGAAACACTACAAATGCACTTTAAATCAGTCCCTAACAAAGAGAATGAACATTTTGCTCCCACATGAGTCATTCAAGTCTTACCTATAACTGCTGGCTCCTTGCTTGTGAACAGGCTTAACCATGCTGTATCTAAAACAAAAGATCCGGAATTAGACAGAACCATCCTTCAAATTTAAAAACATAACAATTTGAAGAATTGCTTTAATGTATAGTCTGAGAAATGGAGAAATGGTTTGGAACTGCAGTAGACATCAGACTTCACTTTTTGCAGGTCTCTGAATTTATGTGGTGCCACTAAGACTGAACAGTTGTACCTGTACATACACACCCTGAATTCTGTGCTCTGAGTCTAATAAATATATTGACTGGTTGTCCATTGCAAAAGAGAATACACTTGACAAAATGGAGGCCAGTGATGAAATGTAAGGCCTTAAATGATATCAGATAGAAATCCCTAAGGTCTTTGGGCAGTAGATGTGAGACTCCTGACACAAAATGAGTAAGATCGAGAAGTAGCAGGTAGCCATGGAATGGGTGTTCCAGCATTTCTTGCATCAGCGTGCACTATGCAGGCAGTGCTTTGGTGAAAGCATTACCTACTCAGCTCAAAGCCACAAATAATAGTATGACAAGGAGTTGGCTCCTTATATGATGCTATCTTGATGATATTATCTTGAATGTATGTTTGTGGTAATTGTGTTTACATATACAAATATATCAGGATTTCCTTTTTTCTGTTGTTCCTTTTTTTTTCTTTTCTCGGAGAAGAGCGGTATCTTCTACAACAGGATTCTAACACCATGAGCATACTCACAGATCTTACAGTTTTCCATTTTTTGCTGTAAGAAATCTGCCTATTTTATTATCTCTGTTGTCTCATCTTTGGAAAATAAATAATTATAGGATAATTGTATTTGTTGTTACTTGCCTCTTACCAACCAAAAAATACCCCAAACAAACCCTAAGAACCACTTCAGTGAAGTAAGCTGTGGTACCATTTTGGGGTCAACTAGAAAAGACCCACCTGAGATAAAAGAAGGTTTACATGAAAAATAGAATAATTCTGCAAATAACAGAATGTCTGTTTTTCTTCATTTTGCCTTTGTCTCTGAGTGTTTTCTTGGCAAGGTGCTGCACCTGGATTGGGGCAGTCCCAGATGGGTGCACAGGCTGGGAGAAGAGCTTATTGAGAACAGCCCTGCAGAAAAGGACTTTGAGGTTCTGGTGGACAAGAAGCTTGGCGTGAGTCAACAGGTCACACTTGCGGCCTGGAAAGCCGCAATACTGTATACTATGCTGCATCAAAAGAGGGGTGGTCAGCAGTCAGAGGGGTGACTGTTCTCCGCTCTGCCCGTACAAGATCCTCCCTGAAATACTGAAACCAAGACTGAAGAAGACATGGAGCTCCTGGACAGGGTCCAGAAGATGCCGTGAAGATGATCAGAGGGCTGGAGCACTGCTTCTACAAAGAAGAGCTGAAGCAACTGGGCTTTTTCAGCCTGGAGAAGGCTCTGGGGAGTGGCCTTCCTGTGCTCAAAGAGAGCTTACAAAGGGTGCTTGACTTTTTAAATGCTCTGATAGTAACAGGACAAAGGGGAATGGTTTTAAAATAAAAGAGATTTAGATTAGACTTTAGGCAGAAATTCTTTACTCAGAAGGTGGTGAGGCACACAGAGAAGGCCCAGAGAAGCTGTGGGTGCTCCATCCCTGGTGGCATTTAAGATCAGTTTGGATGTTACCCTGATGTAGTGGGTGGAACTGGATGGTCTTTAAGGTCCCTTCCTATCCAAGCCACTCTATGATTAATAGCAAAAAATGTAGATTTCCCAATAATTTAAATGGAGTGAACAAAATAATCTTTTTTGAAAAATTGTTATGTATACTTAGTATGTATTATACTTATCTATTTTAAACTGGAATAAATGTTTTCATATATCATATCAATATTAATAAAAATGCAATAAAATGTCATCTGTACTGGCTCATGAACAAATTGCATAAAAGTGCATTCAGCAGTTTCTTATGGTACTACACACAGTTCCTGAGTTTTAGTCCAAAAGACACACTACCTGCAGGGCGTTGTGAATCCATGGTTGATATTTCATGACGACCACATTCATCTAAGTTGAAATGCACAGTTTTTGAATCTTCAGTCTGTATAAAGCACCTCAGTGTTTTCCGCAGTTGAAGCTCTAATCACAAATAAGTTGTAATTAATTGTACTAATAACAGAAAAATGATAAAAATTACATTATAAAGTATAAGGTGTATTTTATAGCTATTTTTGCTTGATAATCAGTGTAAATTTTACATAAACGACATGTACATTAGAATAATATGGGCAACATATAATTATACAGTTAGCTTAAGCTGCTTTTTAAGGGGCTTGGTTGCTGTGCCAAGAAGGAAAGCAAGGATTTATTTGCTTGCAATTTACCCCAATGAGAGTATGAGATTTAAGCTGAGCTTTCTGGAGAGTTACCCCATTTGTGCAGAAACTTGAGCTTGCAAAAATGGCTTCCTACTCAAGAGGACCCTGTAAACCTGGAGGTTGGAGTTGTGGATGACCTTCAGATAGCTGTGTTGGAAGATGCTGACAGGGACAGGAAGAATTTTCATAAAAAAAGGGGGGGTCTAAAGTAGCAGTTGGTCTGGGAAGGCAAAACAAAGTAACATCCTGTATGGAGGCCTACACATGAAGACAGCAGCAAAGAACACAGTATTAAGGTGTAATTTAATCTGAAGAAAGGTAAAGGTGAAGTGGCGGAAATGATTTTGCAGCACGTTGTTCCTGGACTAGTTTCCTTCCTTTCATAAGTATGTACCTCCCTGTTCCCCAGTTTTCCACTTTGAAAACTGGATCTGCATACAAACAAGTGTTTTAGGGCGCATATGGCTACCTAAAATAGCAGCCTTTTTTCGGGTGGGGGGTTGGAGGGTTGGATGGGCAGGAAAGGAGGTTGTTCAGAGTACCTGGCATCTCTTACTGAAAAAAGAAATATACTATGACAGCAAAGGTATTTATAGGTAAAAGTTCTTAGGCAGAGTTTTTCACCGCAACTGAATATAAGTGTGCAGCATCCACAGATTAACGCTGTAAGGCATAATTTAGATTATACTAGACTGAGCATTTTTTCCTGAGCCAGTTTTGCTTTCCAATTCAGTACAGAGCTCAAGAAGTTTCGGTAACAGCTTGGACCTCCATAGAGAACAAGTGTTGTAAAGTGAATTGTCCTTTCTGAGCTGGAAAAGTTAGGCAAGTGAAGCAATGGGATATTGAAAATGCGTTAGCTATGACATAATGCTCTGAGAATGCTTGACCTCACTGCAAACTTTCGTTACTCCTATTAAGTTGGTACAGTTCCCCTGAAATATTTGTTTTTCAGCCGAAATTCTGGTAAAAAAAGAAAAAAAAAAGAAAAAAGAAATGTCTGAAAAGTTTTCCCTGTTTCTGCTGAACAGCAGCAACATGTTCTTGAACAAAGTGAACAAAAATGACAAGAGATGTGCACTCTGACCCTCCTGCACTGGCAGCTCTGACACATCCTGTGCACATACATGGGCCAAGGCCTTTTCTTCACTGGTCTGGCAACTTGAACTACAAGGCCTCCAGAAAAAGCATGGGTTTTCTCAAAAGAAATTAGCAGAGCAACACTTTCAGAAAGACCTGTTATGGTGCATTATAGCTGTTACATTTTAAGAATTCTCGTATACTCTAAGAACTAGTACAGTACTCAGAACAGTTAGCAGGCCTGCTATGATACTCACTCTCTTCTAGGGATTTACAGATGTACTTTAGAAATCACCATAATGCATTTGGTCATATGAAAAAATCAATGTCACTCTTTTGAGGAGTGCTCATTTTTTTTAAAGCCAGGTTTCGCTTTGCTATTCCTTCATGTATTTTCATTTTTGAGCTGCTTTGGTACTTGATTTAGTTGAATTCTACCTTGGACTGGCATCCCAAGATTACAAACACACCTTTCACTCAAAAGGAAAAGTTACCTGAGTTTTCAGCAGCTGCTGATCTGGTGCTCACCGAAACTTTCCTTTTCACTCTTTGCCTTCCACAAGTAGGCACTCTGTATGGCTTTTCACGGCCTGAGCGGAGCACCATTTTGCAATTCGTTGAGAAACTCTGATAACCTGAGTTGTCTTTCATTCCTAGTCCTGAAGTATAAGTTCATATTTCAGTTGAGAAACAAATTTGAAAATGGTAAAAATTCAATACATGACATTCAAGGGAATCAGGATAAATCCAATCAACATGATAGCTTGGATGACTCAAGCTTGTGCCTTAAAAAGCAAAAACAGTGTATTTCCAACAGCAGTAATTCAGTTGGATATCTCTGGATTTCTGCTGAGATGTATATATAAAGTTGTGTTAAAGGAATGTATTGAAAATGATTGACCCTCAGATAACATATTACTAGTTTATATTACTTCAGTTTTTTTAATTTACACTTTTCAGCCATACAATCTTTCTGCAGTTTGGTGTCTGGGTCGAAAAATCATACTCTTTCTGTCCCTCGGAAATACCTTGGTTTAAGATCATTTACAAAGCATTCATAAATGATAGTTTACGATGCTTCAACATTCTATACTTTATACTATACAACATACTAACTTCAACATACTATAGCCTAAATTTCAGTAAAGACAAGCAGCTATACTGTAATCTTAAACAGAGAGTCAAGAAGGAGAACTGGAGTTTGTAAACTTGAATAGCATATTAGAGTAATTCGTTCGTGAATACAAGTGGCTGCAAGAAAAATTCAACCTCCAACCATTCATATAATTCAGATAATTAGTGACTCATCCATAATTTAATCATTTGGCTTCAGTGTATTCTGCATTTTTCAAATGATGTTGTACTTGTGATTACATTTACTAAAACAACGTGTTTCTCTTTTTGAATGACAGATGAATAAATGGATTACCTCACGTAGATATCCTAAGGAAAGGTTAGCATCTAGGAATGGGAAATACACTGACGAGTGAACTGTCCAGCTAGCTAACAGGCTATTAGCACACAGCTTGAGGGAGACTGGGCCTCTCACATCTAAGCAATTTTCTGAAATCAACAGTTTGTGACCACTACTTACAGCAAAATGCACATCACAGAAGACACCTGGCTTCAGTTATTTATAGTACCTGGGAAAATGAACTGAGTGAAGACAAGTATAACTTTAGCCCCATAATTTTACCTTTGCATAGAGTAACTGAATCTCAGCTAGGCCAGACAGCCTGTGGCTGTGGCATGACAGTAATAGTTTATGAAATCATTTAGGGAGATGAGTTCTGTATTCTAGTTTGATTTAGTTCTCTGATGCAATATTTCACATTAGTTATTTGTGAGAAATGGTAGAAATGAAGGACTTCTTTCACTTCAGTTCTCCTGTTAGTAAATTACACAAAGCTAACTAAGGTTCTTTTTTACTTTTTTGCTCAGTTAAAAATGAACACTGAGTTAGCCTATGGAAAAGTGAAATATCTCTAGTAGAAAGATATATATATTTTTTCCTACTTACTAAATTTTCTCATTTTGCAAATGTCTGGTAACAGATAGTTGGGGTAGAAAATAAAGGCAAGGTCTTCTTCATCTTTCTGAAACTGCTTCATCATTGAAGTAAGCTAAACAAATAAAGAAGACCATTTGCAAAGTCTTAACTGAACCTGACCTCTGCAACCTCCTAACTGAATCAGGCTCTGCAGAGCATCTGGGAAATAATACCAGCTTGTGGATCTTTAGAGGTATTGCTGTGCTAGGAGTTCAGCACCTACAAAGCATCAAGACCTAGTTAAAACCATGGATGCTCAAAAATAGGCATTTGATACCTCTTTGAATGTTTCTAATGAAAGTATAAGTTTGACTGCACTTGATCATAAGTCCAGAAGATCCAAATTCTTGATTTTTACAACTAGTGAAACAGCCAGGGAACTATCTTATGATTCCATTGACTCTGTCCTTCATAGACTGCAGTTATTAACTGCAACTTATGTTCAGTTAAGCCTAAATGCTTATTGAAGTGAAAATTAATTTTATGAAGAGGTAAAGTGACACCATGCAAACCACTGAGACAAAAAGAGTGTTTCATCTGGGTTATTTATAGTCATCACCTCTGTGAGAAGACAAAGACAGTGCAAGCTAGGACCCCAAAAAAATCCTGGAGAGGGCAGAGGAATTATTCTTAGAAAACTTTCTACTCAGAACATATATATATGTTATATACAAGAATATACAAGTATATACAAGTTCTGAAGGACTGTACTCAAATTCAATTATTTTTGGTCATTTTAATCAGCAGACATTTAAACATGAGAAACTGTAAAAGTCTGTGTTAGATCTTAGTTCTGTTGGTACTGTAGGATAAATAAAACTCTCTACAATGATTTAAAAAGATACAAGCTTCCACAGCTTCAATTTCCACATGCAACCCACAGCAGTGTGTGAAATAAAGGCACTCTCATTCTGATAACCCTTTCCTCTTCCACCATGTACTTACATACATGTCACCTACTCCCACTCTTTTTATTTTTATTCATTGTTGTTTCTGTTATGTGTTTTTGTTGTTGTTGTAATGTCTTTTCATGCCCATTTCTTCAGTTCACTAATTTTCCACTTCTGTGTGGTACACACAGCTTGAGGAGGGCTAGAAAGAGGAGGTGCATGTTCTTGGCTGCAGACCAGGTCAGACACCATTTGTTTTGGAGACAGTGGTCTCTTTCCTTTTGTTTCACATCCACACTAACTGGAAGGGAAGCAAAAAAGTTGATCTTTGGCTCTTCATGCTGCTGGAATCAGCTATACTTAAGCACACTAGTGGTCAGTGGCAGCAAGATCACCCTGAAAGCATAGGGGGTTTGAATCTTTTTCCTGCTACATATAACATGTTGATGTATTTGCATGAAGGCAGTAAAGAAAATCTGTTTTATATGAAATGGTATATAATCTGTATAACTTCCTGCCTCCTTAATAATCCCTTTTGTTCTTAGGCATTGTACACTGTTCCATTTATCCCAGGCACATCTCAGTACCTATAAACAGAACTTAAAAGCTTGGAGTCCGTTCACGCAGTAGAATGATCCAAATATTATCTAATTCTATACTGATACATTCACAGCAAGCGCTCTCTAGGACCATTAGATCAGATCTGTATTTATTGTGTTCGGCTGCAGCTGACAGTTCTGCTTCCAAACAACAAAAGTAACTTCTCAAAGTTTCTTACAATTTAACAGTGGATTAAAAGAAACTTCTGCCAACCTACGGTCAATAAATAATGGGGATGTAATTACTTTCATATCAGCTAGCTTTTACAAAATTTAGAGACACTAAAATAGATACAGGAGCATACAGACTAGATGTAAAATAGACTGCAGAAGAAGTTTTGGAAGAGAAGTTTAAAGTGAACAGATAAATCAGTATTTGTTAGATTCTAAACAAGCAGTATGATAAATAAAGTCTTAATCTGAAATCTTGAAACCCATTCAGAACCCTGCTGTAATCTTTCACTCTTGCTTACCTTATTGTGCCTGCTTCTGTCCTTCTGCTAGGATACTTCCACTCGGCAGAATGCTACTAGCTGCTTTGCTGCAGCCAATTTATTTCATGAAAAGATGGAAGGGAGCCAAACCTCAGAATAAAGGAAAAGTCTGACGTGGATCTATTCTTTTTGATCTTTAAACCCACTCACTTACATCAATATTCTTATGACTCTCACTGGTAACAGAATTCTAGGAATGTTGGAAATCTTAAATATAATTTTCTTAAATTTTATTTCCTCAAAGTGCTGTAGAAAATGTCTTCCCTGGAACTTCATGCTATTTCTTAGCCTGCGTTTCTGCATAGAGCCTGAATAACCCCACAATTATTACTCAAACACTGTATGTCACTGGTATTGTTGCTGCTGTCTGTTCCTTCAAAGGTTGATTCAAGGGCAGATTCTGGGTTTCTGGCAATGCTGTCATTCTGCAAGTAAGAGTGAAGCCTCAGGAAGCTTGAAGCAAGTGAATTGCTCAAATATTTACCCAGCTATTAAAAAGCGATTTGCAGACTATTGTAACAATTGCAATACTTTGCTTCTGGTATGAGTGTGAACTTGTTCAAAGTGGATGTGCTGTATTGATCTGCCTATAACGCTCAGTTAATTTTTTATCATAAAAGGTTTAGCTCTGTCACGATCTGCTACATTCAGTTGACTTTATCTGTCTACTTCCTATCAGACAGTCCTTTATATTCATAAGCTTGTTGTTTTGCCTTACATTTTTACAGGAGTGAATCAGACATCCACGCACCTCCCTGAAATAATGAAACTCTGCTAAGAACAATTACTACTCCTTTTTGCCAGTTTTCTAAAAACTGATATTCAGCAAATCCAAACAGAGCTGAACCTTTTATCCAGAATTTGTATACAATGTCAAGAAATTTCTCAATTTTACCTGTATCTGGTGTATAAAATACCTCTTTTAGTTTGTCAAGCCCCCACTAGGCTCTGGAAATACATCAGGTCAGTAGAAAGACTTTCTTAGAAGATACATTTCACAGCAAAGCAATGCAGAACTTTGAAATCTCACATCTTTGCCTGTCACTCAGGCAGACACAGAAATGTGGGTATTGCTCTAAATGTGCGACTGCGCAGTACAGGACAAATGCAATTAAAAATGCATATGATGCAGCAGGAGCATTTTTAGAATACACAGGTTTTCAGAGGCTGCTCTGGGGTTAGGGCTGATTACGCTGCAGCAGCTGTGTTTGTTGTTAAAAGTGGCTGGATCCAGGTTGCATGATACAGACTCTGTCTCCCATGAACAATTCTGACAGGCTATATATATCCAAGATAATGTTCCAGACCTAGGTGAAGTGCTTGTGCTCCCTGCAGCTGCACCACAGAACAGTTCCTGATTTCACATGAATGACTGTACAGAGGTGATGCACTACACCAACACTGCTGTAGAATAACCAAATAATAACATATAACAACAACAGCCACAAAGAGAAACTATTTAAAATTATTTGTAACGGATAAGATCTGGGTAGGTTAAGCCACATAGATACTGAAGATGTACCAACATTACATCTGACTTTACAATTAACAGACTTCAGCATTTATTTTAAACATTTTTCTTTTTTAATCTGTAACCGACTATGTCACTGAACATTCCTGCATGTGAAATACTCCACAGGGCCTTTCTAAATTCACGTCAGTAGAAGTCTTTGACAGTAAATGAATAAAGTTTTAGTTTAAAGTAACTCAAATTTGCAACAATATTTTTCTGATGGTCTCATGCTCTTTTTAATAATCTTAGCCTTGCAACTACAGACATGGCTACATTGGGCTCCTATAGGAAGCAACTGTCTCTGGAATTATCCCTTCTTCCCTTCTCTTTTCCTACCATTTGGTTGCAGCTCCCATTTTGGGATCAATAATTCTTGCAGAAAGTGCAGCATTGAACCTGCCATGCAGCACCTTCCCCAATCAACATTTTATTCCACCAGTGATTACAGCATCATAAGCAGGAACCATCAATGGGGGATTTGTGCATGTCCTGACGAAAAATACTGAGTTACTGTGGGAGAAGTACTGTGAGGGCAACTACCCATTCTACTGGAAAGAGTGCCCAGGACACTTATCCAGGAAGCTCCACCGGATGGTCACCTTTTCTGTGTGTCTCTCCTTCCCTCCATCTCTCTCTTCTCCTTGGTGCCCACATCTCTCACTCTCCTCTTTGTTCCACCCTCTCTCTCCCTCTTCTTTGATGTTTTCTTATTTTCCTCCAGATATAGCTTCATCATGAGAATCATTGTGGTTCATCAGTTGTGGTTCATCAGACTACACTAATAAATCTTCATTTACATGAACTTAGAATGCTTGCTATATCCTTACTGTTACAGCAACAACTTCAGTCCACCACAGGATATATTTTCAAATTCAAATTAATATCTTGCGTCAAATTACCTTTAAGGGGAATACACTTTAGAAAACAGTTTATATTTAGAAAAAAAACATCAATGAAATTACTAGACGTTGAGTCTTAGTAATATTATCAGTTTCTAAATTATTTGTTTTGTAAAATCTTCCAGCAAAAGTGCTTGTACAAATCCACTTAAACTTTTCATTATCATCCTTGTTATTATACCAGGTGATGCTTAATTTTTTATGGATGACAGAGCAGTGAAAACAACATACAAGTTAAAACTTAACTACATTAATGAGACACAGGAAGTTTTAGGATGAAAAATAACATGAAGAACAACTGAGTGATTCTTACTTTCTTAGTGTAAAAAGACAATAGTCTACAGAAAGTCAATATTTTCAGTAATAACAAAAAGGAAATGTTTCTGGTATAATATGCTGTTGCTTGATTTCTGAGGATAAAATAAATATCAGCAAATACATTTTATCAGCCAAAAAATTTGCAAAGAATTTGCAGGAGAAATAATTCAAAGTCTCTCAAACAGCAATAAAATTAAAGTATAGGCAATGGACCATACTAGAAACAAATATTTATTTCAAAGGCTGTGCATTGCCAGATTTACACTGGAGAAAAGTTTGATGGCAAAAAGCACTGTTCTAAAGAAAGCCCATCCTATGTTTTTTCAACAAAGAGGACTGAAAATTTTCAAACAGATGTGAAACATAGGAATTTCAGATTTTGAAGATAACAGGTTAAAAATTCAAAATTAGCTCTAATTTTGAATAAAAACTTTCTATTCCAAAATCCAGCGGCTCATTAGAGAATATATATTATGTTTTCATTATACCAGAAAGTGAATTAATATTTGTATCAGAACTTCCAGTTTTACTTCACACTGAGGTCTTTTCTCACTCAGAGTCATGAAGATACCAAATTCAATATATCTAGCAGCTTATTGAAACAAACTGACACAGCAACCTGACAGGACTTCTTTTTTTTTTTTTCCTGGAAACTGTAGGCTTTTTTTAATATGATAAGTACATTTCAGTATTAGAATGTAACAGTCAACTTTATCTTAATTCATATCCTGTTTTCATGGCATGCCAAAGACATATATAGGACTTAACTGAGTCTTGTCTACTATCTATTGCTACCAGTACTTCCAAAAATAATTCTACAGTGAAGATTTCTACTGTGCAGAACATCACATACTTAATTAAACCACCATGTGTTTCTCTATACAACAGAAGACTATTGACTTAGTAATGCGTTGACAACTGCTGTTCTTTAAAACACACTCACAAAAATGAAAAACCGCTGCATAAATGGAATATTTTTTCTCAAATTCCATTTCACTATTTGATGTTTCTCAAACTCTAGAACTCTTACACTGGATGTTACTCATTATGGGTTACATCAGTTTTGGTGCTTTCAGGAATTGTAGAAGGGTGTTGTCTCCTAAATGTGAGATCACAGACATTACACCCTGTTTGCTCTCTAGGGAGTACACAGGTACACAGATGGAGCTGAGCAAAAGTGCTCCACTGCATGACAGTACACTGAAATATACAGCACACATCTTTTCATTGCATACAGAAAGCCTGGAGGCTGTCAGGATATCTTCTAAGATCACAACAGGTTCTTCTTCATAAAGGCAAAAATTTTAACTTCGGCTTTAGCCATTCTGTTCCTAAGGATAGTGGGAGTAACACAGTATAAAGAGACTTTCTAAAAGTTTGCATATTCTTATTAAAAGTTACAGAAAAGGTGGCCAATTTGTTTCATTAAGAAGCAGTTCTTTCTTGTTTACTTAGTTCTCTTGATTTCAATGAGGATTTTCAGTAAGAGGCAATGTGGACACACGTTCAGAAAGATCCAGCTGAGGAACTTTAAAAACAAAAAGATGGAAATAAGCCCTGTGGGAGTTAACAGAGTGCATCCACAAGTGCTGAGGGAACTCACAGACATCACTGTGAGGCTGTGCTTTCTCTGAAAATTCATGGGAACTGGGAGAGAAGGACTGGAAGAGAGCAAATGCCACTCCTGTCTCCAAGAGGAAACAATAATAGATCCTTTGAAGTAAAGACTAGGCAGCTTCACCTCAATCCCAGCAAAGGCAATGCAGTAAATAATATTAGAAAGCATTTCTAAACTATATGAGGGACACAGTGATGACTGGGAGTAGTCAGTATGGGTTCACAGAGATAAAATCACCTTTGTTCTACTGAACGCCACCTTCTGGGCCAGGTGATTCACTATTACTAATGATATTTTTCTCCTTCATATGCTTGAAAATGGTTTCCAGGATCACATTTCCGAGGCTCAAATTGATGCTGACTGGCCTTTTGTTCCTCAGATTCTCCTTCTTGCTTTTCATGAAGTAAGGAATGACATCTGCTTTGCTTCAGATTTTGGACACTTCTCTCAGCTACCGCAATCAATTAAAGATGAAGTGTGGCCTTACAATGACACCTGATGGCTCTCTTAGAACTTGTGGTTGCAGCCCATCAGGGCCTGCAAGTATGTTTATGTAAGCATTTCCTGATCTGACCAGACTTCACAAAGAGTATAACGTACTTGTTCCAGCCTTTTCATCTGTCTCCAAGACCTGAGTTCTTGGAGGTCAGTGTTGCTGGCAGACTGAGGCAAAGAAAGCATTCAGTAC